AACCAAACTGCCTGTTCTGTCTGTAGTGGAAATGCAAGAGTGAAGCCGCTGAGCGACAAATAACATCAAATCACAAAGTGGGGCTCAGGATATGAAGGTCTTTCTAGGAACTGAAAAATACCCATTACGTTTTTAAAAAAAACCCACTAACACTGTTTAAACTGATTTTCCCCTCTGTTCATTTTCCAGGTGAGGTTCCAGTTCATTCATCGAACTCGATAGTGTCACATTGTTTTCTTGAATTGTTTTCCAAACTGCGAGAAAACGTGGCACTTCTGACATTTTAAGGCCATTGTAAACATTTTAACAAAATTCAAGATTTCATCGGAGTTGAATTTACATCTTCCACGTGCAGTATGGGCTAAATGTGAGATAAAATAAAGGTGTGGATGTAGTTAGTGAGAAGCTACAGTAAGTCGTGGTGCTTTCATGCTCTGGTTTGGTGTTTTAAAATAGCTTTTGTGATCTAAATAAACAGCTGAAAATGCAGCGCTGTGTGCTCCTCTATTTTATGGCCGATTGGGAGGCTTTCTGCACTTCTGTCCAGCCCTACAGGTTCTGTACTGAGCCTTTTGGCGCCATGGAGAGACTGTGGGTAGCAGCAGTGCGGTGCTGTGCGGAACCCTTTCTGTGCGTCACTTGAGTAAAAGTCCCAACAGACCTTCTCTGTGCGCTCCAACGGCTCCAACGCCTCAGAAAACGGAAACTGTCTTCCGCTGAGACTTTCTTTAAAACTGACCCTTCAAATTGCAGCTCCGGACAGATGAGGGGGGCAGTGGCCCGCGGGTAACGGAGTCAGAGAGGCTGCTGCTTTTTCATGCCGGTCGGTAAAAGTATGGCCAAAGAGTTCGGTGACAGCGGGACAGCCAATGAACATAAATGGTGCGTCGTGACGCAACAGGGCCCCGTTGATAAGGAGCGGAGAGTCCAACCGGGACCGGAGAAGGAGGAACGGCAGTTTTGGGGGCCCAGCAAACACTCGCCTATCATCAGTCAGCGTAAAGCCAACTCCTCCTCTTCTGCTGTTACGCACATGTATGCAGCCTCCTTGGCAAAAGACAAAACATTAACTAAACAGACTACTGTAAAGGAAGCGGTCTCCCAAACGGCCGCCTGGATTTTATCAAGCAAACGCTGTTTTCTATTTTTCTCTGCAAACCAAAAGTAGTTTGAGCGACATAAAACAGCTGCTGTAAGCATCAGCTTGGACTGCTGAACACGGAGGAGGGGAGAAAGCCGCTCTCACCGGTTCCCTGACAGCTTTTTTGGAAATATAATTTTTGTTCTTTCTTTCTGTGATGCAGTAGATGGCTGCTGCTCAGCTTTGGCAGTGCCACTTATAGAGAGTTCAAGAAAAAAGGAAGCGATTTGCCAATGCCCTGCAGACTGTTGAAATCCTGAAACATTACTCCAGGCGAAAAGGACGCATCGGTACTGAGACCCATGCAGCGGGGGCTTCCATAGTTGGTGTGTTTATCCACCGTAAATGGAAGAGAAGGTGCTGAAAGAGAGCTGTTGGTCATAACAAAAAAGTAAATAAATAAATAAATAAAATCATACCTGACAGAAAAAAAGAGATTCCAGCAAGAGAAGCGGAATCTGTGCGGTTATTTATGAATTAATCATAGCTTATTAATAATGAGAGCTGCAGAGATTCGGATGACGGCTTCCATTGGCAGATGAGACGTAGTGTGGAGAACACGTGTCCAATTTTTCCTTCATATTTTTTCCTCCCTGGTCTGGATTTCTCACTTGTCACGGCAAGAAAGGAAAACCTAAAAAAACGAGAATTCTGAGTGGCATTATTGCGCACGGCTTTGCCTCTGATGGACATCTTGGCTTGCAGTTCCGAAGAGAACAGTTATAATATTCTCCCCTCTGCGGCAGCGATGCTTTTCCATGGCCTCCCTGGAGGCGACGTGCACGGTGTGGTGGACGAAATGGACCGGAGAGGAAAGAGCGAGTCAGCAGCCATCAGCTCAGCCATCGATATGGGGGAATCAGAGACGGTAGGAGAGATTCTTTTGGCCCTCTCGGCTTGTTAGTGCAGGCAGCATGGCAGCCTGGAAACATGTGACAGTGGCTGCACTCTCACAGCTCCAAGCACTTCTCAGTTCGCTCAGGAAAAAAGTCTCCAATATGCGTCCCAGCCTATTATTTATTATTTCTTCCTGTTCTTAAACGCAGCCTGCTCGGCAGATTTCCTGTGCGAGGCCTAAGCACTGTGATTTCTTCAGCCACTGTTTAATCTAAAACTTCTAGTACCATCGAAGCTCCCGTGAAACAAGATACTAAATTATTTAAGAAATAAAAAAGTATCCTCCAGAGTCAGCATTTTCTTTACTTAAATTAACTGTCATCGTTGTGCTGAAAATACACGTCAGACGTGGATAACACAGAGTCTGCCCAAACCACAACGTCAACGACTCATTAACCAAATTAAAATATATTTTTAACAGGCAAATTAGTACAAACATTAACAAGAAAACCCGGACACGGTTTTATAGTTATTTAAACAAAGACAAGTAGCGTTACAGTCTGTTTTCATGTGGATTTGTTGTCTCTAATTACAATTTAATAAAATTCCAAAGGCAGAAATCATTGTTAAATGAAAATGAATGACATTAAAATCAGAGAAGATGGGACAAAAAATATTACTAATTTTAATTCTACTTTTTACCATTTCTAAGGTATTTGGGGAGGCTAGACGTGCGTGTGTGCGTGCACTGTGTGTGTGTCTATTTTGCAGGCCTCTCGAAAATTATATTGAATGACAGTGTTTATTTATTGTACCTTTAAATATTCTCATTATTAATTCTTATCACTATTATCGTAGTGAGAAATTAAGACACACACACACACACACACACACGCACACCACTGATCTCCTCCACCAAAATAACAATATATCTATTATCCCATACACAAAGTTTAAAGAGTAGCTTATCGTTAATATGTAGAATAGCTGTATTTTATAGTTTCCTTCTTTTAGGCCAGCACTATCAGAAATATTAGAACAATGGTCTGAATAATATCCACTACTAGTGGTGTCATTCGTATTATCCATGAAAGTGACTAAGACATTGTTTAGTGTTTTGCAATGTAATTTAATTGAATGTAAAATGTCCCCATATTTCTAATTTCTTAGACTGAACCACTAAAGCGCAGTTTGCATGATCAGTTAGTGAAATGCATTTTTGAACCCACAGCTGTGGTTGAATAGATATCATTATATTCACGTTGACTTGAAGTTGCTCAAACGCAAATAAGACTGTGCTGCAGTCTGTCCCCCCTGCCTCCCTGTCGTGGCTGCTGCTGGGGGCCTGAGCACTGATGATCCTGGTTCTCCTGACTTTGTAGGGGTTCTCAGTATTTTGCTCCCTCTCCCATGCTGTGATGTTTTAATGTTAGACTCTCTTAGAGCCGTTTCGCTTGTGTTTTCTCGTGTCCTGACGCTGTGCCCTCGTGCCTCTCTCCGTGTTGACCTGCAGTCTATGCCGTGTATGACCAGCGAGCGCGTGGCTCTGTGCGCGGGCTGCGGCAGGAAGATCGCGGACCGCTACTACCTGCTGGCCGTGGACAAACAGTGGCACATGCGGTGCCTCAAGTGCTGCGAGTGCAAACTCAACCTGGAGTCTGAGCTCACCTGCTTCAGCAAGGACGGCAGCATCTACTGCAAGGAGGACTACTACAGGTAGGAGGGCGCACAGGGCATGTGTCCAGGATGGTTAGGATTATGTGACATCTAGCTTTCACCGAGTCAAATACGTTTCAAATTAGATGAACTGTAATAGGTCAATACTTTTTAAACAGTCAATAACAACATCACATATGACCAGGGATGAAATGTTACAAAAAGTAAAAAGGTTTCAGTAAAATCAGTTTTCCTTGTTCTAAAAGGCAGAAATAAAACGCATGATTTATACACCATTTCATTCTCCAAGCTTCTATCCTCATAAAATGGGTTCATAACAACTGGTACTAATTATTTTGGACTGACAGCAGCTAATATTCTGTGACATAATTCAACGTCTATATTTTACTGTTTTCGTTTCTTTTACTAGGTTCATTATATTTACTGTTTCTTATAGCACAACACTGGATGGTAAACGAGCCTGGAATGAAAAATATACTGTGTGTGGTACTAAAAGTCTACTTTTAGGTTTAGCAGCTCTCTGGGAGAGCAGGATCCCTGTCTTCACCACCCCCACCAGTCACATTGGCTCTTTGAATGGCGAATTACTGCTAAATTAGAAATGCCAGAATTCCATGTCAGACCTTTAACAATCAGTACACCTGATTCATGTCCATATTTCATTCAGTGATATTATGGTGCTGTCTGTCTGGGAATCCCCCCCCCAGTAGGTACAGGTTTTAGTGCTTGCTCAGTCCTGCCCCATACTAACACACTACTGGCCTGCCAGGCTCCGTGTCCAGCCGATGATGAGGTTTCTGTGTTGTCCGCAGAAGATTTTCGGTGCAGAGATGCGCTCGGTGCCACCTGGGGATCTCAGCCTCGGAGATGGTAATGCGGGCCCGGGACCTGGTCTACCACCTCAACTGCTTCACCTGCACCACCTGTAGCAAGATGTTGACCACCGGAGACCACTTTGGCATGAAGGATAGTCTGGTGTACTGTCGCCTGCACTTTGAGACTCTCATCCAGGGAGAATATCAGACGCATTTTAACCACGCGGACGTTGTCCCGCACAAAGGCCTGGGCCCGGCCAACACGCTCGGACTATCCTACTTCAATGGCGTAGGGACAGTGCAGAAAGGCCGGCCCAGGAAGAGGAAAAGCCCCGGACCGGGGGCCGAGCTGGCAGCTTATAACGCAGGTAAGAAGGACGTTTCTAAGAAAATGTTCCAAAACAAGAGCGGATGTGCTTGGTAATAAAAGTAAGGCAGAGTTTTGAAAAGTATCCTAGTGTTTCTATAAGAAAAGTACAATTCGTGCTTTATCCTGTTTTGTTGCTGATTTTAGCTCCGAATTTTAAATATTGCTTTAAACACTGTTTTACATGTAAAACTTATCAAAGCAAAAGTTCGTTTGAAAAACCAACTCATCGTCCCTGTTGTAAACTAAATCCTATTCACAATTGGAATAAAGAGGAACGCAACGTGAGCAGCTAATTCCACTTCCAGGCTTCATTAATGAAAAATCCATCTGACATTCCTATAGAGACTTTTATTGTGTTTTATCGTGTTTGTGGTAACGACTTTAGAAAACTTTCTAGTATTTATAGTTGCTCTTTAATATCCTGTCATATTTCTGCAGAGCGTTTATCAGAGAACGATCACAATGACTTAACACTGGGCCTAGTTTTAGACTCATCTCTGGTGTTAATATTTATATCATGTCCCTACAGCCACCTTCTTACTGCTTTCTTTTTTGTTTGAAGATCCTATAATTTTCCAGCTGGAAGCTGGTTGTGTTTATCAAGTATTTTGTCACTACTTTTGTACATATAGCCTTCACATTGCATAGCTTCTATTGAACTAACAGGTCCTGTCAGAAAAACCAGCAGCACATTCACTGTGCATGAATAAGCCTGAATTCCAACTAATAATGAAAGAGGAATGCATAGTGGTTTGGTGTCAGGCCAGGCAGGACAAAAGGAAGGGGTTAGTTAAGCGTCCGACACAGTTCTGTAAAATAAATCCTTGGCCATACTTACATTCATTGCACACAGTTTTAAACTTGAATGTGTCAGATGTGGACTGAGCCTTTCAGCTGCAGCAGTCAAACAATGCTTCACAGAAACATTAATGGACTCAGCGTTTAGAAAATACTGACTTTTCAACCACTGGTGGTTTTTAGTTATGTTTCACTTTAGTGAGTATTGTTATTTAAAAAACAACAACAAGTCTGTATTCTCTCTGGCGTTAAAACGAAAAGCTTTTCATCTTCCAACTTTTGCTTTCACCCTTTTCCACTTGTCAGGCTCCATAGATATCTAAAGACCTACCCCCCCACACCCCACCCCACCCCCAACACACATACCCAACACACCCAAACACCCCCTCACCTCCTTCCAACCACACATCCACACACCAGACACACAGACACACACACACGGCTGGTGACTTTTTGCCAAATTGCGCATGCACCTGTGAGATTAACATGATTTCATGAGTTATTCACTGGAGGACGGAGCAGGAAGTAAAAGAACTGTATACAGCAGTGGTATCTTGGATTCTCGCTCTCTGATGCTTTGACTTTAATTAACCTTCCGGTTGCTCACATAAAAAATAAGTTGATTACAAACTAAATACTATGTCAGAATTGAAGACCAGTCTGAAACAGTAACAACATGAGGTTTTCTCATTTTATGCATGTCAGTTTCGTTGCTTCTCATTTCTCTAAACTTCAGTTAGTGGCTGCAACAAGTGAAATAATTGTTCTCACTTGTTTACAAAGCAAATGAGCTTCCATCCTGTTTTTGTCCTCCTTCATCAAGTGATTCTTCCTTGAGAGAAGAGGCATCACTTTCTTTATTTCACAATACTTTTTTTTATTGAATTATGACACAAGGGATGCTGCTCTAACCAGTCTAGCAACTTCACCTAGTGACAAACTCTGCTTTAGGAAAATACACTTCTTATTGAAAATGTGATCACAAGATTTGATCATGAAGAAAATTAAGGAAAAAAAGTCTAATTTCAGAGTAAAACATTCTTAATCCAAAGAAAAAAATAGTCCTTGCTGGTTTTTTTATTGTGGGTATTTATTAAATAAACAGTTTGAAGAAAATGAATTTGAAGCAGAGGAGGGGAGTGAAGAGGCAGTGCGCCCTCTTCTGTTAGCATCTGGAAACAAAGCTTCACCTGAACTATCACACCACAACATGTGGCGGCACTAAGCCGCACATAGCTCTGAGATGTTGTTGTGACTGTGAATAAGACATTCTGCACAAGGATAAGGAGGCGAGCAGGAAACAGGATGCTTCTTGTTAAACTGCTGCAGCATATGCTTTGGCCAGAAAGCAGCATTTGTTCTGCCTGGTGTGTATGGTCTAATTAAGTGAAGTGTTATTCTGATGCTTTTCCCTCACTTCATATTCATCATTTGCAGCGTTCTGATATTGAACACGAACTGTTATGCATGCAGCAACACTTTGAACATTGCCAAGAAATTTGCAGACTGGGACAAAATACATGTGTGTGTGTGTGTGTGTGTGTGTGTGTGTGTGTGTGTGTGTGTTGAAGCCAAGCTAGCAGCTCCTCCCAGGGTAGAAAGACGTAGACAGGGACAGTCAGAGACGAGGTGCGGAGTGGAGAATGGTCTGCAGCTGGTAGAAACATCTGTCAGGTCACAGTGACACCTTGGATCACATAGATTTTATGGATTTAATTGAAGAAAAGAGATCTAGATTGACGCGGCAACATTTTTTGATCTTGTTAATAAGAAATATTGACATAAAAACTGTTAAAAACTATTTTTCTTTTTATAGGGATTTTTAGTTTTTTTCCAACTTTTGCAGTGCCATACATTTCTGGCTCATGCATATTGTTGCCAAGTGACTTCACAGTCATGGCTTTATGTAGACTCACTGGAAATGCAAGTTTCTTTGGGGGATATTTATTGATTTTCTTTGCCATATTAAAACCAAGCACATTCACTATGTGTTAAATGCAGTACCTTTTCCATAGGATGCATTTGGATTTGTCTCCATGCTATTAAAATTGAATACTCTAATTACTGGGGTCATGGGAATTTCAGGACCTTAAAATGGGGTCAGAGAAAAAAGAGTAACCCTAAAGTCTCCAGTGCAAACAGCCATTCAGAAGAAAATGGCCAGACAAATCAAAGTGATGATCAGTGATTGAATCAGGGTTCTCTCTGTGTAACCACTTCTCCTCTCCTGTTCCCTGTTGGCAGCACTGAGCTGTAACGAGAACGACGGCGAGTCCATGGACCGGGACTCCCAGTACAGCTCCAGTCAGAAGACCAAGCGCATGCGAACGTCCTTCAAGCACCACCAGCTGAGAACCATGAAGTCATACTTTGCCATCAACCACAACCCTGATGCCAAGGACCTCAAGCAGCTTGCCCAGAAAACCGGTCTCACCAAGCGGGTCTTACAGGTAACCACAACAACTTTTCACTTCAGAGGAGACCCTGCTGTACCTTTACTTAGGGGAGAAAGGGAGACACCAACAGGGTGTTTTTTTAAGGATATTGCTGCTTATCAGTCCAGCAAAATCCTTGGAAAACATTCAGGAAGCTGCAAACAAGCTAAATAAAATTTTCTTGTGCTTTCTTTTCTATTTTCTTTTAAACAAAAATAAGAAACTAACTGAAGAGAAGCTGCAATGAACAGAAGAGCTTCCTCCAGGAAAAGCATGTGTCCATATTAGAAGACAAAATTACCCAGGAATGAAAGGAAAGCCCTAAAAAAATCCAAGTGTAATCAACTGTAATGGATGATACGACGTCGCACTAAGAGATGAAAATACAAAAAGCTTGAAAAAAGTGGAAGCACAGCACAGCATTTGATTTCCACAAAAGGTTACAGCAAAATGTCTGGAGGACTGAAAAGAAGAAAAATGAGACAAAAAGGTTTCTGAATCAAATTTTTCTGAGAGGGGAAAAAAACCCATCCCACTGCTTTAATTAACGCTTGCAGAAAACAAAGCAGTCATTTTGCTTTGATGCATTCGAGTGTTCACGCCTGTTATTCCAGCTGAAGCGCTTCTCTGGCTGCTTGTTTCCCATGGCTCCGTCATGATTCCATTTCAACACGCTCCGACACTCAGTGTCACTCGCTCCACATCTCACATACTACTTTTTAGTGAAGATTGTGTGAAAAAATAGAATTCAAAAAGTGAAAATAAAATAATGTGAGGAACACTGAAGAGCAGGATGCTGGTTCTAAGGTGTAGGCCTTCCTGGGTCCTCAGCAAAATGGGGAAGAAACCATCAATTTATTATTGTAAATATAAAAATTAATGAAATCATAGCTGCTTTTATCCTTACACACACTGTAGACAGGTCCATTATTAGCTTTTCATGGTCTCAATTAAAACAGGAAGCCAAGGCGCTCTATTTTCATGTGCAATCTCTAAAGAAAAGGTTTTATTTTTCTATGGTTACTACTGCCCTTTTCTCTGGGACTAGCCATATAAAGGCTTTTATAACTTTTGTACACATTAGAAGAGTGCCCTGGCCCTGTGTTTGTAAGTGTTCTTTTATCCTCGACTTCATCTGCAACCAGACTTTAAACAGGCACAAGAAGATGCTCTGGTGTGTGCTCTTAACTAATAGCAAATGGAAGGAGAGAGAGGCAGTGGTGGAGATAATGTGGGTCTGCTTGGGGTTCTCAGACATTAAAACATAAGACCATATAAGTATCTATTTATTTATTTATATGCATATTATAGCCTTTTTGCTGCAAAATGACTCAAATGCTCAAAAGTAAGTGCCAAAATATGTAAAGTGTCATTCTTTTACAAATGTTCCACATGAGCGTTTATCTTATGTGATGACAGTGCAGCACTCAGTACCTCAGTACACAGTGTTAAGTTGCTGCCAACAAATATTTCCTGCTGCTACCACCTATTAAAATGTTTGCACCCATTAAAATGTTTGCACTTACAAATGGTGCTTTTATTGTGAAGATGTTATAGGAAATGTGAAGTGTTGATCACTAAGTTAGTGGAACTTAATTAGTGGTTCAGGTAAACAATTTTACCTTGATGTGTGATGCAGTAAAAAAAACACTTGCACCTTGCCGACACAGCTCAACCGCTCACAGCCGTTGATGGCCAGGCTTGGGGGCGGCTACGGCGCCTGTTATGGAAAAACCCTATATGTTCACCAGCTAGTTGCTAACTAACTGTGTCTGTCTGCTGTTTGGTTCTGAGCAAGTAGTGTGCAGTGGTTTATGAGAGCTTTTTAGGCTGAAAACAGCTACCTGCCTTTGCTGACTGTGCCCCTGATGAGAGCAGTGAGACTGGATCAAAACAGTGATGTTGCAGGAAAACCAAAGCAGTGACCTAAAAACATTCAAATATCCCATAAAGCTTTAGACTTGGGTGGTAATGCTCTGTGGGTTTATCACATAACGTGGTTGAGCCATTGTTCATATAAGAATTGATTAGTGCAACTTAAGGTTAGGTTGACTGAGGTCATGGTTATAAGGTTGCAGCTCTGACTGCAGGTAGAAAATGTAAAACAAACAATGATTTTCTTTTTCAAGTCAGTCACCTAGCCATCCCTCCACCTCCACCTCAACTTGAAACCTGCTCCAGATAGAGTAGGTAATCCACCAGAGTGAGCAGCATGTCTGTTTTTATTATAGTCAGGTTATTATGGTGTGGAGATGCAGTTGTAAGAGCAGACCGAGTTGAAACGCTCACAACCTGCTGCACAAACAGTAAAAGTATAAATGTTCTCTATGTTCACTGTGACAAGTGAAATTTCTGGAAGCAACTGTTTCCATGAAGAGTTTTTAATCTTCATGGAAATGTACTGAAATCAGTGACTGCCAGGAAGGAAGAACACCTTATGCAGTAGGATGCTTTAGAACGAGGATCTCCAACCCTGTTTACTCAGCTACTTTATAAAAAATGGAAGCAGCTGAGAGCTACTCATGTTTTTACATTAGGCAACTTTTACATTAAATCACATATTGTATCAAAACCTTCAGACAAGTCTCCAAACCAAACCAGCTGAATAAGCCAATTCTTTTGTAACCAGTTATCAAATCTTAATATCCAAGACATTTGGTATCAAAAACATAAACATCAGTCGTCACATCAGGTGGCCAAAGTCATATGCACCTCCTTTCTCAAATCAAAACTTTATTTTATAGACTGCGTGTACTGTAGGTGTTGTAAGAGCAGTGTAAAGTTGGTTATTGTAGTTTGGGCTCAACACAAACAACGATGGAAGCAGTTAGGGTAGACTTTTAAAAGCCCCTTGTGCCTGACTGCCGCATTTTGATTTAAAAAAAATCAGGCATCTTAACTAAACATGCAGACATGTTAAACAGTTTGTGCCACTTGCACATTCCGAGGGTATCATGATCTCAGATGTCCACTGCAAAAAAAAAAAACGTCCACAGCCCTGCTTAGAAATCATAGAAAAATCCACTCCTTATAACACCAGTATTTGACGGAGTATCAAACCAATGCATTGACAGCTGGCAATACATCCAATGGTACGTAGCAAACAGCAACTGCTTATAGCGAATTTGGCGTAGAGTTACTTACTTTACTGAAATGCAGGTTAAAGATGCAGCAGGCCACAGCATAACAGATGGAATCCTTGGCAACGTACCTCCTGTTTCTAGAACAGTAAATGTTGATCATTTCATTTAAATGAAGATTTTAAAGTCTTAACACAACATTGTCCAAAAAAAGTGGCTAACACCACTGAACGGCATAACTGACATAAACAAACGTGACAGCAGCATATCTCATTTGATTGGCAGGTGACTGGCCAATAATAATTTGGTGCCAAAGGAGGGTGGGACACTGATTGGATTGCAGTTTGAGCAGGCTCAATGAGCAAAGGTCTGTTGTGTAACTTTTTGAGTTTTGTAATGCAAGCATCATAGGGTACATACTGAATATTCTCTGAACCTATAGGCCAGCTACTCAGAATCAGGGAGCGAGCTAATGGCAGCTCATGAGCGACGTGTTGTAGACCCCTGCTGTAGAACATGGCTGGCAGTGTACGGCTCCAATATGGAACTACAGTTAAACAACAAATAGTGAACAAAGTAGTTAGAGTGGCTGTATTTGTGACGATGTGACAAAATCTAACAGAAGCATTTTATTGTAGTGGTATAGCAATGTGTACAGCTTGGGTTTGGCCAGGATTTAGAGATACACTATATATGTGAGATGTGTAGTCCCACCCTAATATAACTGAACCGTGGAAGTTATTTGTGGTGCTCACAGCAGTAATATAATTCAGCACCATCATGTCTGTCCAGAAACAGTGTTTTGGTTGCTCTGGGTAACTGAAACACCTTGCAGCTTTCACTGGAATTACCTTATAGAATAAAAATAGGGTCAATGAGAGAGAGTTCTGTGAATTATCCAGTGACAGGAGCACTGCTGCTGGAAAGAGGAGCCATTTTTCACCGCAGTGTGCTCCCAAATGACTGAGATACAACCCTCTAAACCCTGACAAATACATGAAAAACCAGCTGCATGGTTAGCTAGCACTAGAGGTGAGTGAGAAAAAGGTTTTTGTGTAACTTGGGTTTCAGAACCCCTGGTAAATGCTCAGATATGAATCTCTGCACCTTTAGTTACACAAACAACATTTTTATTATATCAGAAACAGATATCACATGTGGAATCTGTGCCCATAACTACCATAGAGCATTCATTTTGCTTCATGATATTTTATTCCCACAGGTCTGGTTCCAAAACGCTCGGGCCAAGTTCAGGAGGAACCTACTGCGGCAGGAGAGCACCGGGGTGGACAAGGCTTCTGATGGCTCCACGCTGCAGGGTGGGACACCGTCAGGCCCGGCCTCAGAGATCTCCAACGCCTCCATGAGCCCCTCCAGCACTCCCACCACCCTGACAGACTTGACCAATCCTACCATGCCCACTGTAACCTCTGTGCTTACATCAGTACCGGGCAGCATGGATGTCCACGAGTGCCGTAGCCCCTCACAGACCACACTGACCAGCCTCTTCTGATGGCCGGAGACATTGACCACAGCTTCAGCCCTCCCCACTCCTCCCTCACCTCTGCCCCTCCTTCCTGGATCTAAAACTGAGCACTGTTGACTCCTTTGAACATTAAACGGATTAGAAAAGAGAAGGTAATGGAAAAATAAACAGATTTCATTTTGCTCTGAGCCCGTTAGAGACTACTTGCATAGTGAGGTGGCTAAGCCTTACACATGGAACAGTTGTTGTTATTTTGATGTTGTTGTCTTGTTGAGAACTGAGGAGACTTGATTTGCATTTTTCAATGTTTACAGAAAGACTGCGGGGAAAAAGAACTGCTTAATTTTTGAAATTTCTTTTTTCCAGCACAGTATTTATGTTGTTGTACAAGAGTCACTGTTAGAAGGATTGTAAAAAAAATCTTTTTCTGGAAATCTGAGATTAAACACAGGTTACAATATCCTACAGCTGCCATGTGCCTTACAGTCTGTTTCATCTTTACTGACCATGATCAGACACAAATTATCAGACTCAGAAGGGACGGGTTATATGGCAATGACCTTCACTGCTTGTGTACATCTGTGTGTGTCTGTGCGTGTGTGCAGTGGTTAGTTCTTATTTGTGTTTGTGCCTGCACATGTGTATTGTACATACTGTACAGTGATACACATTCTGCAGTGCCTTCATTTCAAATGATGAATTTAGAGTTTAAACCATGATGAAACTAATTATTCTGCTGGCCAACATAAAAGCTGCTGTCCTGATGTGCAGCCTAGCTTTTTACGAACAAGGATCATCTTCCTCACCTGCTGTACATAATACACCGGTGATTCTTTTGGCTGAAGGCACTGTTAATTGTACACAGATGAAATATCAAAACATATTCTTTCCTACCCAGATGCTGGGTTTATCACATCAGGACATGCACATTTCAGACTTAAACATCAACTGGGTACCAAATGCCTTTTTTTGGTTGTCTGGGACTAGTCAATTTTTTGACAAATAAATAGTGGAATTCCAGAACAGTAGGATGAAAAACCATTAATTATTTGGACATACCTCTTAAGCTGATTTTAACTATGAGTAGGATATGTAATTTACACATTTCGAAGCACAAAATGAGACCAAACATATTCTCTCTATATCGTGACAGTGTAGCTGCTGTGTGAAGGGAATTGCGCTGCTGATGAGACTCCTGTTTTTAGTTGTAATATAACCCAACTCTTCACTAAATACTCCTGCTTTAGTTTGTATCAACATATATGACATTAAAATAAGACAAACCTTATGGTTTTCCCTGTTCATAGAAAATGTTAGTTTAAACCACTGATATAATCTTTTGCAATTCATTTTTTCCTAAAGCAAGTGAGATATATTTACTGTTAAGGTGCAATATTCTTTGCCTCTCAAATTAAGGCAGACAACACCACTGCTATCAATATCACTTCATTAAATTGAAGAAAATCTTTCATTAGCAATGAAAATATATGGAATTATTTCACAATAATGGCAGGTTTTCTTTCGTTTTTGCACTGAAATTACTTGTCAAAGTAGATATTTTTCTGTATGATAGAAAACTTGTGAATGGGAGGAGAGCTGCCGGTGAGACTGGCATAATGATTCTTGCTGAGCTCCTCTTGCTGTGCTGCCACATTCTTGTACACATCCCTGCTGTCCTCGGTTCTGTACAAATATAAACACTACCAATTATAATACTTTGTTTTCCAAGAAAATGTGTGCCTCCAAGTGCAAGTGTTCTTCATCGACTGTTATGTACATACTGTATATACACACAGTGGCGCGTTCTTCTGAGCAGTCAGATGGATTTGAGTCGAGCCCCTGAGAGGCCGGACAGTCGTTTATAAATTCAACTGAAAATGTGAACAAAGTTTGGATGAAATTCATCCTTATTCAGAACCATGTACCCACTTAATGCACTTTTATTTTGTTTAGCTATTTAGATCAGAACAGGAACATCACAGAGCTTAGAAAAAGAGCTTTAAGTTTATACCACTCGGCCCAGGTGAAAAAGTTGGTTTGCAGCACAGAAAAGCTCTGATGAAGACCTTCAAACAAAAAATGTCAACATCCGCTTCCATTTCTTCTTCACTCTTTGCTTCATCTTCTTTTATTCCAGATAGTGTAATGTAGCATAACATCTCTCCCTCTCTCTTTGTGTGTACATACATATATCGATACAAAAATGATAAAACAAAATCTGTTTAATTTAGCTTTTATTTGGAAGACTATACATACATTAAAGTACTTGTTTAGGGTATAAATTTTTTAAAAAGTGAATGTTTCCTCAAAGCAATTTTATATTTCAATCAGCAAAACCTAAATGCATAACATGGGCACTGGCAAACAGTAAACCTCCAGCTGTTGTTTCAGCTTATCATACAGAGCATTTTTCACATAAACCCCGCTAACTTGTTACTGTGGGCCTCAGCTTCAGAGTCACTGTTATTTGTCCAAATCCCACATTTTCAACAACATAGGTGTGTGTCCTTGCAAATGAAATAGCTTATAGTTTCAGTTACTAACTTCAAAACCAGTCAAGTGGAATTATCAGCTAATGTGCTCTGAAAGTAGCTGCTAACAGCACTGGCACTGTTACCTCCCTCGAGTTGGTTGCCCTTGCAGCAAACTGTCCTGTTTCCATCAGTTCAATGTGTGGTCTTCTTAACGTCCTGTGGTACTCCTCCCTGTATACTCGACACAACCGCTGCATGTTTTGTACTCTAAAAGTAGCTGCTAACACCAGCACCGTTTCCTCCTGCAGCTATCTGAACTGTGCCCAGTGTTTTATTCTTATTTATAAGAAGTAAGCATGTGATTGATTGCAGGCAGGAGATGTCTCACACACAAACACACACACACACAGACTAGACACACAGACATGACACACACTAGAGTGGAGCATAGCAAGAAGTAACAAGAAACTTGCCAAAGATAGGTTTATGAGATCTGCATCAATTTTAGACAGGTTTTTAAAATGTATTTGGTTCGAATCTGTGGTTTTGATCCGATTCAGCCATATCTCTGACTCTTGTATCGATTTTTCAATTTGGTTTATACTTACACCCCTAATATACAGTATATGCACTGATCAAAAAAATTAAGGGAACACTTAAATCACACATCAGATACTGATAAACAAATTAAAACCTTTACTAATGTACAGTGTATAGTTAGTTCAGAACAAAATGACATATAAACAGTCAATGGAAACCAAACTCATCAATCCCTGGAGAGCTGATTCAAAACCATACTGGGTAACACTTTCCAATAAGGGTACATTAATTAATCGTACTTAATGCAGTAAGAGGCATTAACTAATAGGTAACTAATGCATTTATTAATCATGTACTAATGTTTTTCATGTTAAAGTATTACCTCATACATTATTTAATAGTTTAATATTTTTAACGACACTGCTAACATTTGTTGATGCAGTAATAAGCATTAACTAAACGTTAAATAATACAATAATAAGCATTGCATTCAACAACTTAAATGTCTCTTGATAATACTAGTAAATTGTCAATAAAGATATTAACATTTATTTCACAAAGTTCACAGCTTAGCAGTTTCATTAGGAGAAGGCTGTTTTAATGTTCATTTAAGCATAATAATTGTCCACTTACTTGTCCATCCTCCAACCAACGAATTCACTTTGTCCTCGCTCCACGTTCATCTAAGGTGGTATCTTCCAGCTTCTGATTGACTGAACACACATGATGCAAGTATGCAGCAGTGGGCAGGGCATGGATAGTTGGAAAGCATGCACGGTGGTAGCTCTCGAGGACCTGACTTGCCCACCCCTGCTGTATACTGTAAGCATTACTTACTCGTAATTACGCACTTATTAATGCTCTTTAAAAATGTAGTGAGTAACCATTACTTAACCTTTATTAACCATTTGTTAATGCTTTTTGTGACGCTTATTGTAAAGTGGGAACCATATGTGCATGAACTAACACTTCATAAATGTATCACAGCGGTGAATAACCATTACTTAAC